TTTTGTTGATTGATGATGATGAAGATGAAAAATTGATTGATGAAGAAGGCAAGGTAAGGAAGTGGAAGGAGAAAGAAAGGGTGCTGCTGGTTTGATTGAATCCAGCATGCCTGGGTTCGAAAGAATCTATGGGCAAAAAATTTTTAAATAAAATTTTGTTTTTTGGTGAGTTTTATTGTTTGATGATGATGATGATGAACTCAGTAAGAGTAGAAATTGGTTGAAATGAATAAATTAGTTGAGATCTTAGGGTTTGCAGAGGGTTTGCAAAAGTTGAAGAAAGAGTAGACGAAAGAGAAGAACGAAAAAAAATTTCTTTTTTTGGTGGGATGAGTTGGAATAGCCACGTTATTTTTTTGCCAACTTGGTAATTTTTTGCGTGACACGTAATGTTTCTTCTGTATTTGGCTGTCAATTAATGTGAAAAATTAACGGAAGGACCAAATTGGGGTAAAAATGGTAAACAGTAAGGACCAAATCAGGGATTTTGTGAGTTTAGGGACCAAATCAGGAGTCTATACAATAGTTCAGGAACCAAAATGAGGTTTTAACCAAGAAAAAAAGACAAAATGTACAAATCCATCCTCAAAATTATGCAGTAGGACAAATTTACCCTTCGAAAAGAAAATGACAATTCATCTACAACCTTTTTGAGTTGGACAAATTACTGAAAATATGAGGTTTGACGTCATCCTCCCTGAGCAATCCTTTAACTCCGAGCTTAGCTGGCCAACACGCTGGACGCTTATGTGGTCCCCATTAATTGATTTGTACTTATCACATTCCTAAATTAACCTTTACATTGCTTTAAATTTATAACTCATGCCACTTCCTAAATTTTCTTTAGCTAAACCAGTTCGTTGTTTCAATTTTAGTTTTTTTTTTTTTTTTTCTTAAAAAAGATCTACATATCTAGGTGATTACCCCATGTCTGGACCCCTACACCAATTCTGCTCACAAATGGGTGCAATTTCCTTGGTAAAAGCTTTCAACATGATTACGATATGGCCAATGACACCTTCAAAATTTCCAAACATGCCAATTTCAAATTCAAACAAAAAGTTTTCACCTTTTGAAGGATTATGATGTATTTTCAATGAAATATTACGGAAAACCCACAAGTCTGATCTTTATTTTCTTTGAGATGAAGAAGGGAACCCCTGGGGTATTTGATGAGAACCCAGATCTAAGTTCTCACTGGGTTCTCAAAGTCAAAATCTAGATGGCTTCTTCGAAATCCATCTTCGAATCTTGAAATGCCTCGTGTAGATCTTCTATTTCCTCCAAATCTTCCATCATTTTTAAAATTTTTGTACGGTACTTGCCATCTGTTCTTGGAGATGCCGGAGTTGGGTTGAGGGAATTTTTAAGGAAGAATAAAAGGTAGCCATGGAAGCCGCTGGAGTTGGTTTTGTAAGGAACAAGAAAAAAGCAACAATGGAAACTGCTGGGTTTTGTTTGGGTGAAAAGAATGAAAGGTTGAGGAACTTTTCCCATTTGCAGGGACGATGAATGGGTTGATGAATAATTTGATATATTTTTTTAATTATACTGCAATATTTGATTAAGTTAAATGAAATTAATTTTTTAATTAAACAATCAGATTGAGTAATTTTATTTTAATTAATGGACTTCATTCATTTGTTTCAATTTTACTAATTGGGATTTAGGTTTCATATATTTAACATAACTGAGTTAATTTCCCTTGAGGAAGAGACATCAAAATAAGAAAAGGGGGAAAGGCTCCCGTCTGAGTGGGCCCACATAATATGGAGATGAAAAAAGAGGACAAAGTGCCACCGGTGGTGGGGGAGTGGACCACTGGAAGTGTTCAGTATGTAAACAAGGCAAAACCATAAGTTAAGCCCCTGTACTAACCCCAGAATCGCTATTAAACCCTTAGACTTTAATTGATGTGTATAAGCCCTAGAACTCTGCGACCAAAGCAATTAAGCCCTTCTTCTTACACCAACTTAACTGCCGTTTGGGACTCGCTCGCCTGGCTTAACTGTCGTTTAGGACACACCCGATTGGCTGCTTGGATGGCAAAATATTGCCATGTCATGCTTATATGGCAGGAGATTTGACATTTGAACTAGATTTTTGACTTATTTGATCTTTTAATTTTTTAACTTAAATAAAATTTAAATAAAATAAAATCATATATTTGGATGGAAATATTATTTAAATAAAATTTTAAATTTAAATTTAATAAATAAAGTAATAGACATTAAAAAAAATTTATGTTATTTATTGTGATTTAATTTTAAATTAATTGAGACAAATATAATTTTTAAATTTTAAAAGTTTAATAAAAAATAATATCACTTAAAATGATAAATTTATAATTATACGATATATAACATTAAATAAATATAATAAAAAATATATATATCAGTTTTAATTTTTTGTTTTAAACTAAAGTTTTAAATTTAAAATAAATACCTCATTTTATCTAATTAAAACTTAATTTAAAATTTTATTTTATTAAATATTAATATTTAGATTTAGAAAGTAATTTCATTATAATATGCATTTAATTTTCAAATTTAGAAACTAATATTTAATAGGGTAAATTTTTAAATTTTACGTTGAAATTTTAGTTTTTAAATATAAGTTGAGATTCTAAATTTTTTAAAAAATTCAACACTAATATACACTAATCTTATATAATAAATATTAAATAAATATATATAGTATTATAAATAAATTTTTAAATAAAAAAAATTAAATAATGATACATTAAATTATAATATCAGATAATATTATAAAGAAAAAAATACATATCAATTTCAATTCCAAAAAATAATTGAAATCTTAACTTAAAATTATTTCATTTTATTTAATTAAAACTTAATTCAAAATTTAAAAATTACCTTATTAAATATTGATATTTAGATATAGAAACTAATTATATTAAAATATATAATAGATTTCTAAATTTAGATATTAATATTTAATAACATAAGATTTCAATTTCTAAATGTAAATTAATACCCGAATTATTTTTTGAAGTCAAAAGTACAATCTTATATTATTAAATATCAATATCTAAATTTATGTGAAATTACCGTCATGAGTTAAATTTTAAGTAATTTATTTAATTGGAAAGGATTGTAGGGTGATTTGCCTTTTTAATTTGAGAATAAATTTATATCCATTGCGCAATTTTAAAGAAAATTCAGATATTTTACCTCTAACAATCCTACCTTAACAGCAAAACTTTACAGATTCAACAATTGAAATAAAGATGATATATTTGCACCACATCTTTTTAAAAATTGTGACAAATCAATTAGTCCGTTGGGAACAATGAGATTTCATGCCAACTTGATATGATTAGGCATGCATGTCTACTTCTACCAATCGACATCTCCTCTCTTTTTTTATTCTTTTTTTTCGAATATAGGAAATTTTAGGTGAAGGAGAGGGGGAAGGGGGGAGAAGGGGTGGGAATTTTCTAGTAGGTGATAGGAGTTAAACTCTCAATCTTAAATTTTAATTTTTAATATAATTTGATTTAACATATATAGAGTTCATATATTTATATATTTTTTAGATATTTTTATATATTAATTTATTTAAAGATATAAATTTATTATTTTAATTTTTTTATATTTTTTTATTAATTTTAATTAATATTTTATATATTTTTAAAATATTATAGGCAATAAACCTGTGACTATAGTACAACATAATACAACAATCATAAACAAAGTTATAGTTTATTTAAACTCAATTTAATGATAAATGAGATTAGAATTTGAGATCATAAACTAAGTTATTTAAAATATTAAAAGATATATTCTATATTATTTAATGATTTTTTTTTAACTTGTGATATTTGTATGCATCAACTAATTTAATAACATAATATTAATCCTAGATTTTTGTCCCCCTTATCATTAGTTAGTTTAATATGATTGTACTTTTCATTACAAAAAAAATGATTGTACATTTTAGTTTTTAATTTTAATTTTTATAAATTTTGCAACTTTAAACCAAAAAAATTATTAATAAGATTATAAAAAAATTTAAAATAATTTTAATACTATTGAACAAGTTCATACTTGTTATTATCAGTGTTAAAATTTATTATAAACAAATTTTTAATTTTTATTTTTAATTTTCAATAATTACTAAATTTATAAAAACCAAATACTTAAATTAGTCATTCATGGTATACTTCAACCATTAATTTCCAACTCGAGTTGTTTTTCTCCTAAATACTTTTATTCTTATCCTTGTTTCATTTAAGTTTTAAGGCACAATTACCTTATATCCAACAATTTCATATATGCAGGAACTCTCTAATGGACATCATAAAACCAGTCATAGATATTGTGAAGGATGTTGTACCTATAGTTAAGAAATATGTCAAGTATCAGATATGTCAGAATGATTATGTCAATGAATTCAAAGAAATGCAAACAAAGCTGGAGCGCCGACGGAAAGATGTTGCGGACGAACTACTTACTCAGCTGATACAGCCTGGAAAGATTGCAAAGCAGGAAGTTGAAGCTTGGCTAAAGGAAGCAGACCAAGAAGCTGTAGAAAAAGTGATTGAAGATCTAATATGCAAAGGGGGTTGTTTCACATATATTTGCTCCTCAAGAAAGGTTGATAAAAGAACTCAGTCATTGAATGAAGGAATATTTAAGCAAGGAGAAAAATACACAAATGCTGGTGAGAGTTTGGTTGTAGATGATCACTTAATCGAGTATTGTCCAACTATATTCAAAGAAAAGCAAGAGAGGCTAAAGCACCAAAAGGAACACATTGAAGCAAATTTGAAGACTCAGCGTATGCAACCTGGAAAGATTGTAAGGAAGGAAGTTGAAGAGTGGCTGGAGAAAGCAGGTCAACAGATTGCCATAAAGGTTGAAGGTCTGATCAACCAAGGGGAATGTTCCTCATCAACCAACCTCAAGAAAAACATTGAAGAATTGAAGCAAATGCTTGAGGAAGCAAAAGAATTCACTAATGCTGGTGTGATTTTGGTCGTAGATGATCACTCAATCAAAGGAGTTCCACTAACCATTGAAGAATGTAGTGGCAGGGATGATGTACAAGAACAAATTCTGGAATGGTTGAAGGGAGACAAGGTTACAAGAATTGCAGTTCGGGGGATGGGTGGTGTGGGCAAGACAACAATTATGAAGCAAGTCCACAACCAACTGTTGAAAGAATCCAAATTTCACAAAGTTATTTGGGTAAAAGTGTCAAAAGACTTTGACATTATTGTCCAGCAAAAAATGAAGTTTGATATTCTCGGGTTTCAGAAAAGGATTGTGAGTAGCATTGAGCCACCATTGGAGCTAAAGGATCATGATAATGAAACCAAGATTGCAGGATTGATTTCACAAAGGTTGGGGCAAGGCAGCTTCATGCTAATTCTGGATGATGTGTGGGAGCCTTTCTCTCTAGAAGATGTTGGAATTCCTAATCTAGTTGGGAATAGTGGTTGCAAGTTAGTGCTCACGACACAGTCAAAAGAGGTTGCTCGTGCAATGGAGTGTGAGGTGATCTCTGTGAATCCTCTTCCACCTAAGAAGCATTAGCATTATTTTTGAAGAAAGTTGGAAGCACAGTGTTGTTAGATGGCAGAATTAAAGGAGATATAAAGCCGTCTTTGGAGCAAAATTTACAGAAATGTGACGGAGTACCCCTTGCTATTGTCACAGTGGCAAGATCAATGAGAGGGAAATTACTTCCTCATCATTGGAAGTTGGCACTTTCTGAATTTAGTAAATTTGAAAGCATTATTGATTGTTTGAAATTCAGTTATGAATGCCTAGAACCACAATGCCAGGAGTGTTTTCTATACTGTGCATTGTATCCTGAAGATTGTGAAATCCCAAAAGAGGAGTTAATTGAGTATTGGATTGAGGAGGGGCTTATATATAAAGAAGGGAAAACTAGGGAGGCAATGACTTGGAAGGGTCATGATATACTCGATAAGCTGGTTGACAGCTGCTTATTGAAATCAGTTGAAAATAAATACGGAGGAGAAGATCGTGTGAGTATGCATGATCTTTTCCGAGAAATGGCACTGGAAATCAGTCAATTTTTTTGTGAAAGTTGGCAACTACCAGAGGAGGATGAATGGAGAGATTGTTTGAAGGTTTCCTTAATGAGGAACTACATAACAGAAATTCCTTCAAGCATGCCATCTTCGAAGTCTCCTATGCGCACGACCTTGCTGCTATCCAATAACAAGATTTCAACAATTCCAGAAGCCTTTTTTGAGCATATGCTTGGGCTCAAGATTCTTGATCTTTCCAACAATCATGAGCTAAGTAGGCTGCCGAGTTCTATTTCCAAATTAGAGAAGCTTACTACATTATTGCTATGGAATTGTAGTTTCTTAAGAGAGGTACCATCTTTTTCCAACCTTGTAGACTTAAAAAATTTAGACCTTTTTTGGACATCAATTGAAGAACTACCCCAAGGCCTCAACATGTTAACAAATCTAAAATATCTTGGTCTTGGTGGAAGATTATCAGAAACACTTGATGAACTGCTACAAAATCTCTCCAAACTTCAGCATTTAATAGTAAATACCTTCACAAAATTTACATGGGAGAAGATTGGAAGTTGGGGGAGGCTTCAAAACCTTGAGAAGCTGAATCTTTGTAATTTGGATAACTTGAATGCGGTGTTTGGGGAAATAGGAGCAGTTGCAAAGTCTGCACTGCTCCCCACTGGCACATTTTCCTCTCTTCAATATATTACTGTTTATAGATGTAATAAAAGAAATAAGTTATTCTCAGTTAGGTGGTTGGGGTATCTCCAGAAACTACAGATTATTGTTGTTGGTAATTGTGAGCAACTAGGGGAGATAATAGGGACTGAATCTGAAGACCGAGAAAACGTCACTCTACCCAAGTTAGAAAGGTTGAAATTGGCCAATTTGCCCCAATTGAAGACCATCTATAGCGGTTCTTTGATTTGTGATTCCATCAAGAACATTGAAATTGAGGATTGCAAAAATATAGAGTGTTTTTTGGTCAAGGTTCAACCCACTTCCAAATCTGGAATATCTATACCTTTTCAAATTAGAGAATCTGAAATTCGTGTTTGATGAAGAAGGTCTTGTTTTATCGCCACTTGTACCTCCCACAAGCTTTTTCTCTCTTAAAGAAATTAGGGTTGATTGGTGTCATCAATTAAAGAAGGTATTTTCATCTGGATGGCTACTCGGCTACTTCCAATCTCTAGAGACTATTGTGGTTAGATGGGATTTGTACATGAAGAAGAAAAAGTCACTCTACCCAAGTTACAAAGCTTGAAATTGATAGGATTGTGGGCATTGAAGAGCATCTGCAATCGCTCCAGTGTGTTGATTTGTGATTCCATCCAGTGTTTGATGATTTTCGAGTGTGAGGAGCTAAAGAGAATTCCTCTGAATTTTCCCTTGCTTGATAATGCCCAATCATCTCATCCTCCTTCCCTCAAAGAAATTGTGGCATTCCCAAAAGAATGGTGGGAATCATTGGAATGGGACGATCCCAATGCAAAAGACATTCTTTTACCCTTCTGTGAATTTCGGCAAATTAATTTGTGGTAGGAGGCATCGCCAATGTAAGCCTTTTAATCTTGAATTTTCCATTTCTAATTCAACTCAATAAGAGTTTTCCATTCTTAATAAATCTCTCTCTCATTTATTCTCTTCTCCCCAATTGGCAGCAATTCGGATCCAGCTCTGTAACCATAAGAAAGTTGGAGGAAATCACATTTGCACTGGTTGCTGTTGCTATTGGGTTTTCAATTCAATATAATCTTTGTTTTTCTTTTTCTCTGTGTGTGTTGTGTGTTTAAATATGTCAAATTCTAAGAGGAAAACTGTAAATGTTTGTTTATTATCTGTGTAATTTTATCTTTGAAACTGTGTGCAAAAAAGACTTGAAATTCAAACCATCAATTGTTATCTGGGAAAAGAGGGGTTCTAATGAGCATGTTTCTTTCCTGTTTACTTTGAAATAATCACTATTCACTATTTGAAGGTGTGGGTATCAGCAAGAGCTCAAAATTTTCAACGAAGAGCTCCAAAATTAGGTATCAAGTTAACTACAATGCTACTTTGAAAGATAAGAAACTGTCACTATCCCTCTTAAAAGGCCATAGAAAGGTATGAAATGTATATGTTTGGGCCTCAATTTTGTCATTTGAAACAAACCGTGATTACTTTGCCTCAGTTCAACCATCTTTATTGGTAATTTATTTATTTCAATAATTTACTTGTCTTGACTGTATATTAGATTAGATAATTCCACAGCTTAAGTAAAGTTGCATAAGATAGTTTCAGTACAAGAGGAAAGCACTACTGTCTGGATAATTATCATTTGTTTCTAGAATGCTTGCCTGGTAGAGTTTAAGTGTTGTTGAAAAATTCTGTTGTTCAGCCTTTTTTTAACTAATTTTTGTCTGGTACATCTCTAAAGCAAGCCAGAGTTCATTTTCTCTACACCGTGCCAACAGTCAGAATTGTTGTCCAAATTATATATCAATGAAGAGAGTTATTCAACTATTACTCTACATTGCTCGTCTCTTCACTGGGTTTGTTGCATGAATTTTTCAACTTCTAGGTCTGTAAAACTGCTTTCTATCTTACGGATTATCCTTTCTCTTATGTTTTCTTTTAAGATCTGATGTAGATTTCTCTAATTATCTGTTGTGATGCCATTATTGGCAAAGGTTTGTTTGGTTGCCAATAAGATTGGAGAAAACCAAGTTTCTGAGGTTTTTTTCCTTCTATATTAAGGAAATTGAAGTTTAGTTTATTGATCATGCTTGCTTTTTTTCCTTTAATTTTTTGCTCATTTTACTCTGATCAATGAAAATCTCAATATTACCTTTGTAGTTGTTGGAAAGGATTTTATTAAAGTTGTCTAATGTGTTCCTAATTTGTGTTAGAATTATCAATTCCATGTGGTCATCACTAAACTTTCTCAATGGTTAAAAATCTGTGTAGCAGTGTCTGATTAATTCTCTTGTTGAAGAATGTGAGCATCTTCTAATATCAGCAATTCTAGGCTTAAAATTTGCTTTTGCATGTGGAGGATTATTAATAGTGAGATAGTCTTAATCACATCAGAATAGTAGTTGGATTCTAAACCTAATTCTGATTTAATTTCATGTTGGATTATTGGTTATGTGAATTATATTTTTACTTGGAGATATGTTTGTGAAGTTCTGCTAATAGTTCTGTTATGGTGTGATGCTGTAGTTTACCCTGTGGTATTGATACAGTATCTGATGGAAAGGAATGGCAAACATCTACAAATCTATTTGATTTATGTGAGATTTCAAAAGCCAATCAGTTATGGGTATGTTTATGCTTTTTCAATTTTAATGTCTATGGCTGTTCCAATGCCATTCAGTTTTTTTGTGCTAGTATGATCATCCAGCTTTAGCTTTGTTGCCACAGGCTATTTAAATCTGGTTAATTCTGAATGATTTGAGCTTCTCTTTAAAATGGTTATTAGATTTTTTTTTGAGGTTATTTAAATGTTTTTCTAAACTGAGAGCTGGTCAACCTGTTGACAATTTGCAGGAAATAAAATCTAAAGATTCTACGTCAAAGTAGATAGAGAGAAAAAGGTTTTTTTCCTTCTCTACTATTTAATGTATCATCTTTTCTACTCTTTAACATTGGAATAAAGAGGATACAAAATAGAAGAAAAAGAAACCTTTACCTTTTGAGTTTAGATGGAATTACTTCCTCCTTGCATCTTGTTTTAATAACTGACCTAATAGTACTTAGACGGAACTTGTATAAAAATAATAACTAGTAACTTAATAGACACTCCATGTTGCAGTGAGCCTCAACCCAAACAGCTTGAAGAAGAAAGTGGTGGTACACTGCTTTTTAAATAGAAAAATGAAGACTTTAGCGCTTTCTTGGCCTCTCTGTCTCTGTTTCTTTACCATTCTTGTCCTATTCTGATTTTCTCAGCATGCAGACAATGCTTAGATCCTATTAGGCAATTACAGTTTCTCAAGTATCCAGTACATTAACATATTTACTGGTCTTCTTCTATATATTGCACAGGTCAACTATGCATTGATGATTTCTGTTATCTACACCAGTAGTTTTTGACTTCAGACTTTTTTCTCTTACATTTAAATCTATCTGTAAATTTAGTGACATAAGCATGAACATGATTCACTACAAGAAAAATGGTTTTTAGTGACAGAAATTTATAATGAATTTTGAAATCATCACTATAACTAATGATAATTATGACAAATTTAAAAAATTAGTCATAGATGCATACATATTTAATGATGAATAAAAAAATTCATCATAAAAAATATATTTTACCACCGAAAAATATTAATAGAGATAAAATAAGCTTTTGTCAATAAAAATCATCACTATAATGCATTACAATTATGACAAAAGTCTAATATTGGTCATATATGCCTTATACATTCAATGATGACCAAATAATTCATTACTAAAAAATATATTTCGTCACTAAAAATTGTCAATTTTCTTTAATCAATACATCTCACATCGATAAAAAACACATAACGGAATAAGGTTTTGCACTATAAATATATCCCACATCGATAAGAAATATTTAAAAAAATAAATTTTTGCACTATAAAACATGTGAAACTCAATAAATCTTGAGATTAGTTGGGGTCTGATTAATTTTAATTGGACCTGATTAATTTTAATCAAGCTTGATTAATTTTAATTGAGCTTGATTAATTTTAATCAAAATTGATTAGTATTGAAATAATAATATTTTTTTATTAAACTTTTGTGATAAATTTATATGTTATTTTTTTTGACAAAATTTTTGTTAAAATATGTGTGTTGTAATTATATAAATATTTTTTTAATTTAATATCTTTTTTAATAATTAATGACTAAATTTTTTATCACAATTGCATTTGTGATGAATATTTTTTTGTGACGAATAAAATTGTTATAAATAACTTGTTAATAATGTCAATTTTTTTTATCATTATAAGATTATTTTCTGTGATAAGTACCTAATTTGTCACTAAGAGTATTAGTGACAAAGGTTTTACTAACGGTTTAAATTTTATCACTAATAATAATTTGTGATAAAAAATAAAAATTTAATGATCAATAATTTAATCACTAAATGTGAATTTTCTTGTAGTGATTGTGTATATGTCTCAAACAGGATATGATTTGAAGTATACCCCTTTTTGGGTTCACTCATTTAAAAATTTTAATTGTGGAACTGTGAATCATGCATTACTTGTGTGCTGCCTGCTGCTTACCTTAGGGTCTGGCAAAAATCATGTTGCTACAGTTGCACTCGCATTGAGACAATTGCAGAAGTTTTTGCTAATTGTTACGGTTTTCCCATTCATTGTCAACCCTTGCTGCTCTACCTCTGATTTGCTCTCGAAGATGTCTACTGTAGACATGAAATGATTTCGCAGATTTCTAAAGGTGACTGCTTTTTGTGTTACATTTAAATATATTCTTGGTCAGTGACTTGCTAATAGTACTTAAAGGCTGTAATGATGATGCAGTATTTTAATTTGTTGTGGTATATAATGCAAAACTTAAAAGCTTTCTTTGTCCTCTTTCTTAATTGTTCTGGTTTTGCCATTCATTTTCAGTCCTTGCATCGCTGCCTCTTATGTAGACACATAGTTTCGATAGTGTCCACGTGTGCCCTCAAAGATAGTCTGCTTTGGCCATGAACATATTGTCTCCATTTCTGAAGGTGACTGCTTGGTTACATTTGAAGACTTGCTGTTTTTATTTTATCAATGCTTTTTTTTTTTTTTTTGGGTTGAATGGTAAGGATTTGCTAATAGTGCTTAGAGGTTGTTAATTTATTCTGATGCAGTTGCCCTTGCAGCATTGAGATAGTATATGATGTTACACAGTGGGAAACATTTGCAAATCTATCAATATGCTGATTAGAAACAAAAAGGATCCTCTTGATTGACTTCCCTGGAGTTGGTTACCAGAATGGCGACTCTGAAACAAATATTGTACTAATAAGTCTGGTATGTACCTTTAGTGAGACTGGAGATGTTTTATTAGGTTTTGCATGTTTATTTGAATGTCGATTATTTTTCCATCTTCCAGCCTGTGTCACAAATATGGAGGATGCTTCTGAACATTTTGAAGAAGTTCTGAAGCATGTAAAGAAAGAACATTGGGAAAGAGCATACAAGGACTGTTCAATTGGGTGTGCCTAGATTTCTAGTTGCAGAAGTTGCACCAGTGGTTCTATGCTTGGATTTCTCGTTGCAGCTGGAAAATATATAATAGATCCAAATCAAGCTCCAAGAAAGCAAGTCAAACCAATTGCTTGTCTTCACGATTCTAAAGTTCAGAGTATTACTCGATGATGTGGAAGATGGAGTGGTTGGGCAGCCTGGGTTGAATTTGTAAGCAAGGAAGGAACCTGAAGCCTCATTGACGGAAATTTCCTTTTCTGCTTTTGCCATTTTGACGTATAGATTGTTGGATACCTACACCAAAAATGAGAACATTTTTGTTTCTTGGCCATGAATGGGAGTGACGTATTAGTCAATTCATACTAAACAGTATAAAATTCTCTGCAACTCATAAGATATGTAACATGTATCTTTTTGCACTACCCTCTTCAACCAGAGAGGAGATAGAAATGAAAAATCAAGAACTTAAACTTACGTCTTATTTTCTAATTTGTCTTATTTTCTAATTTATCACTGTTTATTAAATTATTCTTTCGTTACCTCTTTGTATAATTTATTATCAAATATTCTAATTACAACTCCTTTTAAATTGCCTCTCAGAACTACTCTTTTTTTTTTCCTCGGCTACTCTTGCTTACCAGAAGGGATATCATTGCTGACATCTGGCAACAACCCAATCCACCCACATTTCGATCCCCTTTTCATTTATTACTAGATAATTTTTCCTTCAGCCCACCTATCAAAAATTTGCACCAACCAAACACCATTAATGAACGAATCGGCCCAACACCTTGTCCAGGCCCACCAGAAATTTCCACATCCAGTCCATTCGTCCCATTATCTGAAAATGCATTTTGGTTGACATGTACGTATAATTGAAGGAAAATATGAAGTGTTCTGACATGATTAAAGATGACCATACAAATTATATTTTCGGGTATGTAGTTATTTTGATCATACAAATGACATGATCAAAGATCATCATACAAACTTAGGGCAGAACACATCAATCAAATTAAATTAGTCTTGATTTAGAGGTGGGATCCCAAATTTGACTGATGCTAGCAGTTTGGATCCCAAAAGCAAAGAGGCAATTTTTATTTTTTTGGAAGAAAGGAAACAAAAAGGCAAAATCAATAATACAAAGGAAAATGATATTGAGATAATTTTTTTAAGTCATCTTTTGGTATGATTTAATGTCTCATTTAAATAATTAATTTTTTTAATTCATATGACACTTATAATATTAAATATATTTATTTTTTAATAATATATAAAAATTATATTAAAAAATAATATAAAAAATTATCTTTATAATACCATCCTAATACAAAGTAATCACGTGGATGGTGGTTGTTGAATTATTGGCAAGTGCAATAATTTAGTGAGACCAATTACGGGCCCACTTTTCGCTATACAGAAAATTATTAAAGTTACACAGAAAATAAAATTTTTTCGTTAATCGTAACAAAAATAAAATATTATATCTTTTAAAATATATTAAATTATATAATTAAATTATTAATAAAATATATATTTTAAAATGCATTTAATTTAAAAAAAAGAATAAAGAAAGGAAAGAATTGCATAACTAGATTATTAAATTGTGCATATGCATCTTATTCCAAAGAAATCAAAATTTACTAAAATTAAAAAAACAAAGAGTTTATTTTCATGTAAAATTTAAAGGAATAATATTTATTTGGTTTATTTCATAAATTTTAAAAAAATTAATTTTAAAATTATATTTTTAAATAAATTTTTATTTAAAAATTAAAATATTTTATTTTTAATTTATAAATTTAATTATGTTTATTTTTTATTATATTTTCTTAAAATAATATAATTTTAAAAAATAATTTTTTTAATTTTTGACAAGTAAAGGGCTAATCCAAAATTTTAGTTAAGTTATTATAAAATATAAGAAACTAAAGGCAATTACGAACAAGACAAGATAATTGTGTTGATGGGATGTGTTGAATTATTGGCAACTGCAACAATGCAGTCAGGCCAATTGCAGAGCCAGTTATTGTTTTACAGGACATTGTTAAAGCCAAACGAAGATAAAGATTCTGTTGTAATGACTATTTTGCCCCTGTTAGGGCCAAAGTCATCTTTGTCCCTTGCCTTGTTTTCCAATGTAGTGAATTTTCGACTGACACCTCCTGCATTGACTTAAACTCCTTTGTCAATAGTAACAAAAATGAATTGTTGTATAATTTAAAATAAATTCAATTATATAACTAAATTATTAAATAAAAAGTTAACTCTCCTATCCAGCACTTGAAGGTCAACTGAACTCTCTATAAGGCAGGACGTGCTTAAAACTAATTGAATTTAGGTTCAATTCCAAATTTCAATTTCCTTATCCCCGAAGAAAAATTTTCATTGTTCAAAAAAAAAAAAAAAAGTTAACTCTCCTAAAAGTAGAGTTGATTAGAGAGGAGAAAAGCTGTGTTCTGAATCAGTTGCGCATATGCATTTTCTTTTAATGAAGCCAAATTTGACTAAAATATAAAATTAGTTTATTTTCATGCAAAATTTAATATATTATTATAAAATTATAAAAAGGCAAAAGCCAGAAGACAAGGTAATCAGGTTTGTGGGATGTGTGGAATTATTGGCAAAGGCAATAATGCAGTGAGGCCGACTGCGGGCCCAGTTGTTTTTGATACCACCTTCCTGCATTGACTTCAAGTCAAGTCCGTCGTTAATGGCAATTGGTGACAAAAAATAATGAGTACTTTTTAGTCTTTTACGGATTCTAACCTCTCTCGACTAGAATCGGTGTATATGCACAGGGGGATCCACACAAACTGTTTCTTACCCCCAAAAAAAAAAATTGAAACCCTAAAGTAGAGTTGTCATTCAATTTTAGGGTTTGTGAAACTAACTTCATGAATGAAAAGGAAGGGGAAAAAAGGGTATGCTCGGCTACAAAGAAGAGAAATAAGTTTGAGAACAAAAGGATAATTATTAAATAAAAAATATTGTATAATTTAAAATATATTAAATTGTATAATTAAATTATTAAATAAATAGCAAATTCTTTAAGAGTATGGATAGTTTAAGAGAATGGAGGGAGAAAATTTTTTTTATTTAGTTAAAAAATTAAAAAAAAAAGAAAAAAATTATTTACTTTATTTTTTCTTTTAATGTATCATCTCTTTTACTCTTTATCATTGGAATAAAGTGAATATATATATATATAAAACTTTACCCTTTTAATTGAGTTTTTTGCCTTTAAAGTATGAAGTATAGATTATATTAGATTGTAAAATAAAAATAGTTAAATAAGGAGAGAGCCCTTAATATTAAAAGTCCTATCTTTTACTTACCAATCTCTACTGTATAGTTTAATACAATTTAACTTTATAAAAATTTTTCATTCTGAATTTACATGGAATAACTTCCTCCTTGTGACTTTGTTTTCAAATCTTTTGATGGTTACTTAGGCTCTGTTTTAGTATGGTTTTAGTTTTTGATTTCTATTTTTATTTTTTATATAAGACTACGTGATATTACATGATAATTAAATTATTAATATTTTTATCAAATTATTTAAGATAATAAGATATTTTAATTTTAATTTTTCTCTTTTTATATATTAAGTAATTGATTCTATGTTTAAATTAAATTAAATAAATTATAATTTTTATAAAGAAAATAATTTAGTACTTCCATTATATTCATTTTTAGTAGATTTAATTTGCTATTTGAGGCATTTAAATTTAATTGTTCATTTTTTCTTATTATTATATCATTTAATGTGTTTATTTTTATTTTAAAAAAATAATTATAA